CGCATCCAACTCCCTCGAGAGCAGAACACGCTTGCTCTTCACCACACACACACACAGCACGCGAGCCATGTGAAACTGCGGGTATCAGAGCAAAGCCTCTGGCAAGAGAACATGCACTCCTAGTTGTGCTTAGCTTAACGCTAACGTAAACAAATGGTCAGTGAAGACAAAGAAGAGGATGACGTGTTATCCCGGCGCCCTATTATACTGTGATCGCGCAGGATAATGATGTCATAGGCTGTCGCCGGCCAATGTTATTGTCGTTTTTAGATGTATGCTTCAGACACCGGTCACGCTGAAGGCGTTCCCCATAGCGACCCCTAGAGGACGCAGTTCGAAGTTCCATCGAAAGGGAACGGGAGAATTTTCAGACGAGTCAAACGAGTGCGGAAAAGGTACATGTGCCAAATGAGTTTCAGTAGAACAACAGGGAACTGCGGTCTGATGAGATATTGTTATATGTCAGTAAAAAACTTTCCTGTCCTGTCAGCCGTTTTACTGTGCTCACGGCACACGCTCTTTAACTGTACTCGAAAATGAGGCGCACGCTCACTTCATAAATAAACTGCACTAGAAACTGCGAGCATACATCTTCAGTTAAGTCACGAAATTACCAAAATGGCGATTAAAACTGCAAAACTGTGCATGCATGTATGTGTATTACATTTAAGAATGTCTCTCAAATGCATGCAGCCTACTGAAATATTCTGCAATTCGAGATCACAATAGGGCGCAAGATGATGTAATTATGCTATGTAATTTTTTTTATTTAAAATTTAATGCACAAGTAGGTCAAATGTGAGCACAGTGCAGTTAAATGTACTAGAAAATGTGCAAATTTTTCATTCATTTGTAAAGTACGAAAATGAAAAGAAAATGAAACCATATTTAAATGCATGAAAAAAACATATTTTACATTCTTACATTATTTTCCTTTGTACAGAGCTCGATTTAGGTATGACAAAAGTGCTGCAATGAATTCATTTTGACAACTAATAGAATGTTAAACACTGACTGATAACTTTTTCAGAGTTCATTGATTATATAAAATTCAGTGAAGGTTGACTATAGTTATCTACTTGTCTCATCCATGAGTGGGCCTATGCAATGATGGAGAACAAGCAATGGTGCAATGGTGGAAACACATGTTTGTGAATGGGCATTTGATTTACATTTGAGAGAAACTAAGATTGCAAAACTAGCCACTTTTCACTGAAAATTGCCGTTGTAAATTCAAAATAGGCCATCTGTGTAATTCAAGTAGATTCAATGAGTTGAAAACACTTGCTACTTCATACTTCAATACAAAACAATGCTGAACTTTGACAAAAAGAGATATTTAAATGTTATAATAGTGATTTTATAATATCTAATTATAAATCCATTTGCAAAACATGTGAAAAGAAAATAACTATATAACAGAGTGGAAATGGTAAAGGAGACAATAAATGATCCTCTGCTGCTATTTAGTGGTCATAGTGGGAATCATGACATTCATTTTAATAGTATTTGTTTTTCTACCAGGTGAAATCTTGGCAGAAATCTTCCACTTAGCATGGCACATTTTCCATGAATTATCTCTTTAAGTAAAAATGAAAAAAAAAATAAAATAAAAAATAAAAATGCAGATGTTCTTAAAAGTTTAAATTTTACTTTATAAAAATGTGCAAAGATAATAATAATTTTTAGGCAAATTAAAAAATATATATATTCAAATTACCTAACTAAAAAGTGTGCAATAGTACATGTGTTTGAAAGTAAAAATTAATAAAAACGTGTTCTACTGTCTGGGGTCTGCCATCAGGAGTTAAAGGAGTTATGTGACACACTTTTCTTTTCTTTTTTTTACTTTTCACTTTTTTCCCTATGGTATTAAAAAAGAGGAAAGGGAGTTCAAACCTTTGTAAATTTTTTCACTCCTGATGAGTTTGTATCCTTCCATGCACAAACTAGTAATGGGCTTTTGGTCATTGACTTGCAGATAGTTTTCTGCGCGATTTAGTGTTAGAGGCTACTAGAATACAGGGGGGCGCCGACACTGATCTTGCATACCCCTCTGCAAATGTGCAGTTGCACCCCTGAGAACAGGGGTGGCGAACGTCGTTCCTCGAGAGCCGCAGCCCTGCAGAGTTTTGCTTATATATTATAAAAATATCAGTTTCACTCTCCCAAAACGCCGGATCCGTGTGGACGAAACGCCTATACGATACAAAATGTATGCGTATACAGCTATACGCGTCTCCGTGTGGACGGGGCCTGAGTCTGCTCAGAAGAACGTCGGAGGCGCCCCTATCGCGAATCAGAAATCCTGATGTGTGGGGGGGAACCCCGAAAACCACATACTATAGGAGCAAAACGGTTAAATCTAGGATTTTTTTTTCTCATGTTTGTGGTCTCTCACATTTTGAAGATCTTATAAGATTTAAAAAATCTTTTAGTGTGTACCCAGCATTACTAGAAAGCTACAGGCAGGTGAGTTTTAATTAGTGTTGGAGCTGAACTCTGCAGGGCTGCGGCTCTCCAGGACCGGAGTTCGCCACCCCTGGAATAGAATAA